AAGCTTGTCACCTGCACAAGCCTGGACCAGCTGCAGCCTGCTACCCAGAGAGGACAACCACTGGCAGTGCTTTCAACCACTGGCAAGAAGCTGCCTTCCAGAGTTAGCAGTAGCAATAGAGACAGGACTTGGACATCCCAAGTCCCGCTGCAGCTGCCCTTTGAAGCACGTGCTGCAGAGGGATAGGGGTTGTCCTGCCGAGGGATAGGGGTTGTCCTGCCAACTCCTGGCTAGAGGGAAGTGTACCAGGGAGAAACCCCAGAGCCTGCTTGAAAAGGGCCCCATTTCTTGCTCTGTCTCTATCAGATTCCTGCTTGCCTTGTTGACTGGAGTTTTCATTGTAGATTAGAAGTTTACTGGGGTGGGAGGGCAGAGAGGGCAATCAGTAAGGTGGGGGTGGAGGGAAGGGACTTTTCAGACATTAACATCACCAAAAATAGTGTTTTATGCAACAAAGAATCAAGTCTCACTGGTGTATACTACAAAAAGTTTGACATTTTCCAAGAGCATGACAAAATAAAAACACAAATAAGTTTACATTGGATGTTCATCTTGTTCACTAGGTTGGGGTTCCGCCCCCCCCCCCTCCTATTTTAAAACAGTGCAAACAGGTAACACACTTTAAAAATCACCCCTCTGCACCAGGACAGCGTTCCCCTGACCTTGCCAGGCTGGAAGGCCACAGGCAGCAGCCGTCTGCCACACTGCCCGCGTGCTTTCCCTTTGGAGCTAGACTCAGCAAAAGCGCTCCCCAAAGCTGCTGTTTTGTTTTCCCTTTATTGCATTCCTAAGTGCTCCTCAAACCTGTTCTCCGCTTTTTTGGGGCCGGGATGGAAAGATACAGATAGGGATGGGTTGGGGAAAAACACAAGCAGGAACTAGGAGGCTCTGCTTTGTGTTCCCTGCTGCTGAAGCTCTGGGTGCTAGAATTGAAATCCCAGCAGCCAGGGTAAGGGCAAGGAAATGGTTTCACTAACCGTTTCACCACTAGGACTCAAACCAGCTATTTAGATAACCCTCCTCAGCTCTTGCTGTGCAGTTCACATCCACAGATCTCAAAATGGGTGAGAACAGGGGATAAACCATTACCTTCATTTTAGGGACAGGGAAGCGAAGTCTAGACTAGCGACATGACTGCTCCACGATGACCCTTGAGGATCACTGACAGCCCTGCCCAAAACACAGGTCTCAGACTCCTGAGCTAGTGTTCTGTCTCGCTGGGCAAGTCTGCTCTCTTGGGCCCTGCAACAGCCAAGCCACAGCTAATTTAAAACATGGCTTTGTCTATCTGAACTCATGACACAGGATCCACGTAACTGCTTAACCCGGGAATAGCTGACTATAGCAGGCTCATACTGAACCCCCGTTGTCTCCAGGTCCTGTCACAGCTTTTCTTAGAAAAGTTAACCCACCTACAACAGTGCAGCCTCCCTGGCATGGGGACAGTGACAACAGTTTGTTAATGTGCTGGGCATTAATAGAACTTATTCCCAGTAGAGAATATGCTATACCAGTAGCAGTCATCTTTGTACCAGCACAACTGTATCCACAAGGAAAGACAGACCAACACATTAAATAAATGAACTCTTCAATACAAAATTTTGTCAGTATACTATCACGTGCTGGTCAGACCTATAGCAAGACAGTACAAATGGCAACACTTTAAAGAAACATATTTTCCTCTGCATCAAGAGGAATCCTGGATGCCATCAGCCTAGAAGGTGATGAACAGCAAGCTATTTGCCAGGCTGCCTGTGTGGTTTCCCTCAGAAAGGCAAGCCCTGCTTTGCAAGGGACCTGTGACTGCAGACCCACCTTGGGAACAAGCACTAGCTGCCATCAGTCAAACAAGCCAGGGCCCAGTTTAATTCATGAAGTGTAATTCATTTTGCATAGGGAGATATAGGCTTTGTCCTCACTTCTTCAGGAGATGGATACAGCCACGGCTTGGCTACTCTGAATGCATCTCAAGCCAGTTCGTAACACATCTGAGTGAAACCAGAGCTGTTGTTTGCCAAGAGGGAAGAAAGGCTGAAGAGCTCTCCTGCCGTGGCACAACACTCACTCGAGAAACCTCGCTGCAAAATTCCAGCTGGCATGCAAGTTTTTGGGAGGTCTGTTGCTCCAGACACCTGGAACCAACGAGCTACCTCCTGTTGCTCCAGACACCTGCAACCAACGAGCTACCTCCGGTCCCCCGCTGTGCACACATCCCAGCATCCCCTCTGCAGCTCACTGCTGAGAGCAGGAAGCTGGCTATCAGCGGCTGCCTCAGCAGGGATCTTGCAGTATTAACTATAGAGCTGAGGAGACACAGGCTGGTTAATACACGGGAGGAGCCTGGCAAGGAGCAACCAGAGCAGGCTGGGCTCAGACACAGGAGGAATCAGGCTGGATGGTCTGGAGCAGGTATTACTCAGAGATCATACAGCAGGGGACCATCGCCCTGCAAAAGTTGGGCGCTTCTGCACTAAACCCCTCACATTCCTAATATACTTGGGTGGGCTGAAGCTGCCATGCATAGACTCTGCTCAGAGGCAGAAATGGGGCTGGCCTCCCTACTCCCAGAGAGGCCAACGGGGGAGGGGGGGATTGCAGGCGGCACTGCCAAGGCAGGGGAGGGCACTCAGGGAGGGAGAACCCAGCTTTTTGGGAGCTGCAGTCAGAACCAGCTGAACTGAAACATAGAAAAGGGGCAGAGGGGCGAGCAGCTGCCCCTGCTGGGCTCTGCAAGCTGTGCTCCTCTCGCTCACAGCCTGCAGACCTGCTGCATAAGGAACTGCCTGTGGGCAAGGGAAGGACGGCCCCACACAGCCCCTCTGCCCCACAGGTAGGTAGAACAAGCCCAGTAGAGGCTTTTGCTGCATCTAAGCTCCAGAAATCCCCTGGCTGCCCTGCAGTGGAAATGGCTCCCCTTTATTACGACTACTTCTACCAGACAGTAGAAAAGCCCCCAGATGCCACAAGTCCCCCTCATTTCCTAGATTTTGTGAAAGTCCCAACACCCTGTTCCCCCCTCCCCATTTCCAAGCTAACTAAAATATTTATATACAAACAACAAAAAAATCGTCATAACAGCAACAAACCAAACTTTGGCTTGGAAAAAAAAAATTAAAAACCAACAATAAAACCAGAAAAAAAAATAAAAGGTGGACAAAAGGCTGGCAGTTTGGTGTCCCCTTTATCTAGCTATTCCTCCAGAGAATCAGTAGCTTCAGGGTCTCTAGCTTAACTAATGGCTTCCCCCATCCTCCTGATTTGAGGTGCCTCCTCTCTGCTGCGCACAGAGAGCCTATGCGTATCTCTGGGGAAAAGCAAAAAAAATGCGTGGTTGTGCGTGGCTGGGCCAGGACACCCCCGGTGAGCTCTGCTTGTTGAAATTGCTTAGTGTTAAATGCAGGAGGTTTCCTATTCTGGTCTCAGCAGTGGGTGGAGAAGCAGATATGGCAGGAGTTGGAGAGGGTCCACCAACAAACCCACACTCCACGCAGCCCTTCTGAGGGCAGTGAGCTCACGCCAGTAGCAATCAAAGGAGTCGAGGCAGCCTAAGAAAACCACACTTCTGCATTTCTCTGACACATGGTTAGAGACCTTGCCTCTGATCACTGTGAGCACTCTAGGAGCCAGCAGCTGAGCAGGGAGATCTGGAGAGCAGCAACTCCCCACCAAGACACAGCTCAGAGTAATATAAAAACGCTGACTTTGAAATGCAGTGAAATCACTGTACGTGAGAGCAGAAGGGAGATGGTCTTGGGAGCGGTGGAGCCCTTCCCTAAATTGTTCCTCTGCTTCCAAATATTGTAATACGTAGTGTTTATATGGACTCAGCAGACCAGGTACACAACTTTATGAGAGGCTGGGCAAAACAGACCCAGGGGCTCCAATAGCAACTATGTAAGGGCCTGAAATAGCTTGTGGTGGGAAGTTCCTATGAATTCAGAGCTTGCACAAACTGTTTCTGCCTCCCCTTAAACTTCTGACTGAAACAAAACTACTTCAGGATCACGTTTAGATATAAAAGACCCTCTTCCCCTGCACAAACCCACATGCTTGCCCCTTGCCTCAGCAGCTTATACATGACTTGTTTTTCCTCACTCATGTTATTTGAAACAGATTACTTGCAGGAGTGCCTAAGCAGCTCAGGATGAACAGGAGAAGAGACCCTGCATTCTGGAAGAGCAGGGCACTGATGTATGGTTCTTCAGTTAGCTTTCTTCCTCTGCAAGGCTGCATGCGCTTCACCTCTGCAAGTTTAACTGCTTGCTGTCCACAACAGAGGTAACTCTGTGTGATGCTGCATTGCACCTGCCACTCCTCGAGGAAAGAAGGGGATGAAAGGAAGAGCAAGGGAGAAAGATCTTGAAAAGGAGGAAGGAAAACTAAGATAATTACAGCCACCAGCAATGAACAACAATCAGCTACAATAAGTTGTGTGGGATGGGGAAAGATCATCCTCATCAAAAACTCTTTTTGAAGTCTTGTCCCCTATACAGCAGATAACAGCCAAAGTCTTTGGGCAGGTTGAGGAAGTCTTCTCTTGCCAAGTCTAAAATCCTGACACTGCTGAAACTGTCCCAAACCTGTGTGCATCAGATGGTGATAAAAATGAGGAAAGTCTCTGCATTTCCCCCATTTTCAAATGTAATTGACTATTTCGCACCAGCATTAAGGTCCCAGCCACAGCCAAAGAGTGCTTCATTCCACAGAACAGAAACATGTCAGGTGGAGACTTTTCCCTCACATCCTCCTGTCTCACAGGCACCAAGCACCAGACCCAGGGAAGTAACTCTGTCTGCATGTTCCTGATTAATTGCATGATATCAATTTCTAACAGCTTTCCTTATCGCTAATCGCCTTTTCCGTGATTGGTAGGATAAGCTATGCACCAACATACAGACACGGAAATGCATTATTTTTACCACAGTTAAAAAAAACCCCAAAACAAAAACAAAAACAAACAAACAAAAAAAAAAACCAAAACAAAGAAATGCACAATCTTTGGAACAAAAGAATTAAAGGCAGAAATTTAAAGGAAAAAAAAAACATATTCAAAGAACATAGTGAGGTATAAAAAAGTATTTTCTCTTTTGTTTTTCCTCCTCGTCTTGCTATAGAGTTCCTCTACTAGTAAATATTGCAATAGCCAGGCCTCATGAACTGGGGGGGCTGTCCCACTTGCAAGGGGCTCACGTCACTTCAGTAGGGGGCAAATCGGCTGTAGCCACCTCGGTATAAACTTGCCTGTAGAAATTAAATGAGAGAAAGAGAGGTTGTTAGGAGGTTAACAGTGGAGAAATACTCAGGACAGCACCCAAATGCTCTCAGAAGGACTAACGGACATGTCCTGGCACTGACCCACCACCATTAGCACCTCCAAGAAGCAAGAGAGGAAAACCCTGCCTGCAAAACCAAAGACATGGCTCAGGAGGACATGCTCATGACCAGCCAGCTGGAGGTGAAGCTTGGCAAGTCTTAAGCTGAAGGGAGTTCAGTACCAGAGATGGGACTCATGAGTCCTAATGGCTGAGCCAGTCATCTAGGTTGTCTTTATAGATAGCAGAGACTAGGACTTATAGGATGCTCTTCACCTCAGCTTAAGGTAAAGGTCTAAAATAGACACAATGACCTGGTATCCTAGAAGTACCTGCTTTTCCTTCGTTGACCCTAAAGAGAATCTACATCATGAACTGAGGCTCAAAAGGAGGTGCTGCACTGCAGGTATCTATATTAAGTATCTTTTTCTCTGAACACATTTGTATTCCAGCCTTTGCAACAACACAGATACTGCAGTGGCTAGAAGCAGATGGGCAAACTTGTTTTCAGCAAGCTGCTCCGCTCCCCTCCAATGCCAGCATATCTCATTCCTGCCCTTGCATAACTACTGCTGGCAGACGGGACACCGCATCCTTCCACTAATGGAAGAGGGAACCAAGTGGAGCAGCTTTGCTGCAAGATGTCACAAGAACAACTCATTCCCTTGCTTCCTAGAACTGACTTCTCAACACACAACACGAGCCTTTAAAGTTAATGAAAATGGCAAGAAAGCTTGCATCTCTATTTCTGATTTTTGCTCTCTATCACCTTGATACAATTCTACTGATTCACCAACAATGTTATGGCTCCTGACATTTCTAGTCCTTCTTCTACCATCGCCTTTGTACTAGGTGATGTGCAAGACCAAGTCTTCTGGTCTTGCATAAATAACTAGTCTCCTACAACCCACCTCCTTTCCTAGTACACACAAACAAACATATGAATGCAGAACAACTGGGAACCCCGCACTGCAGCTAAGGACCTCCTTCCTTGACAGAAGTTTTGCTGTGTGAAGTTTCATTACCTGATACCCAGTGAACAGCTGTTCCCCATGCTGGAAATGAGAAACAGCACAAGAAAGAAAATCCCACTTACCACAGCGCCAACTCCGTAGCTAGCGGCAGGGGCAAGGGCATGGTAAGGATCTGCTGTGTACACCCTGCCATAACTGAAGAGAGGGAGAAAAGGTATTAAAAAAAGATTAAAAAAGTCACTTCGGAGGAGCAGAGAAACAGCTGTCTGACCACAGGCAATGGAAGAAGCTGCATGCCCTTCTACGCACGTGTATGCCTACATGCACACACATGCACGCAGGCAGCCTGTCTTCAAAGAAATCCTACGGGCATGCTGCCATGCATCATACAAGATGGGCAAGAGAACGGCCTGCAAGGAGAAATGTGGCAGAAGCCAGGAGTTCGACCTGTAGGAAAGAGGTCAGCACCTTTGAAATGACAGCTAGTGCATTCCTTTACCTCGTGTGATGCAATTTGGGAGGAGAGTGACTGCCGGCGCTAGCGCTGCTGGCACAGTAACAGCTGCTAAATGGAAAGCAGTGAGGGATTCTCCATAATGAGAATTAATGTTCTCACACGTGCTAGGATTAAAACACGGCCTCACTGCACAGGAGACAAAAAAATCTTAAGGCAAGGACTCTGATGATTTGTATCTATACAGAGCTGCATGTTAAAGCATCCTAGAGTACTGGATAAGCTGAGCAATTCTTACTTTATGGATGAGGAGAGAAATGCACTCGGTGACTAAACAACCTGCCCAGAGTCACAGAGGAAGGAGCTGGCAAGGCAAGCCAGGTCTTTTGACTCTGAGGCCGTAACCACACTGCCTCCTTTGTGCAGAGATTCACAAGGATAGGGAAGAGGTGAGGATTTGTGCCAGCTCACGTACACTGGAGGGCAATACTGCCCAGGAGCAGAGAGACAAACCGTGCATTCAAGTCTCTCACGTTGGGTTGTGCATGCATATGTGCGCGTGCGAGTAAGACCAAGAAACAGGGGAAGGAGTAGAAGTACTGTAATGGATCACGGCTCCTTGAATCCCTGAGCACAACAAGCTAGCCCCCATGGACACCTCCGCCTTACATACCCATCGCTGTAAGCTGCTGCAGCGGCTGCAGCGGCCGTGGCTGCTGTTGCAGTAGCAGGCTGTGCATATCTGTAGGCTGCATATCCACCCTGCAGGAGAGAAGAGAACTGACTTTACAGATACCTGTCCACCCACACAGAGCATAAAAAATAAAATTAAAAAAAAAGTCACACACATCACAAGGAGAGGAAGTGTTTCAAACTGCATCAGCTCCCATGTCATGTCTATCACAAGCATCGTCCATTAACTCATGTATACTCCTTTCCTCAGAAGGACCAGAGAGACTCTTCCATTACCCCGTTTAGCAGAAGGAATAAACTAAAGCAAGCCTAAGCATGGTTATATCCCTGCAGGAAATTAAATTTGGCATGGAGGAACTGAAAACCAGAAGAGAGCTGAAATGCATGGTAATGTTTATATCCCCTTGTTCTTATGCTGGGGAAATCAGAGGTGGGCACTTTCAGTGACGTGTGTATTTTAGAAAGGGGACCATTCAGAGAAATTCCTGCTTTTTCCCCTCTTTTTTAAAGCCTGGGAAACCCAAAGGCTAGAATTTAGTTTGGTCCAGATGCATAAGAGTGCCAAAAAGCAATCAGGAAAAGATGGTCAGAGAATATAGTCCCCGGTGGTCTCAGGGCTGGCAACAAGAAAAATGATATTGATACCAATGAGACCGTTCTCCCCTCCATATAAGAAAGAAACAGGTCAGGGGAAATTATGCCAGAACAGTCATTGTTGCTGCTGCATTTCTGCCCATACAACACACCTGTAGTAAAGGTCTTTAAAATGCTTACATCAATAAGAGGTAGTAACTAAAAACATGCAGCTGGATTGGCAAAATGGGAATCCCAACCCAGAGGAAGACCTGTGAGTCTCCTCCTGGCTCTCCCATAAGGAGCTCTTGGGCAGAAAAAGATGTGGCTCAGACAGGCAGCTCTGCACATCCTGCATTAATGAAGGATGGAGGCCAGCCACGTTTCAGACCAGGGGCAAAGGCTGCGTGGTAGGCAGCGAAGAGGGCTCTGAAGCCCAGGTTAGATCTTTCTTTATTGCACACTTTTGAACACATTTTTGTTAACTTCAGTAAGGCAATGGTAAATGAACCGTGGCTTTGATTTGCTAGAAACACAATGAGCCATAAATAACATCAGAAAATTCCATTGCTTCTGGCTGCTCCCCCCCTTCCCCTTGACATTTCAGAGTTTGAAGGGCCAGAAGGCAGACTTATGCTCTTCACCTCCAAAATCAGCTCAACATACCTCTACACCACTTCCTCCTTACAGATCTTTTGAATATATGTAACTAAGAGTACAAGATCAGCTTTACTACAGGACTGCCTGTTTGCTCAGCAGTGCTCAGTTTGGGGCTAGGCAGCTTTTCAATTAGAAGTAATGATTTTAATTTAATTTTGGTTCCTTTTGTGGGGCCTGCATTAGCCCCATGAAGACTAATATGCTATCCAAAACACTCCTAGGGACCCCTTCCTAATCAAGGAGAGGAGGACTTACAGCCTCTTCAATCTTCTAGTTAACAGAAAAAAGAGCAACACAAATCTACGCCTCTGACATATCACCACACTGCCTGGAAGAGATGTCATGTTACAGTTTTGCCTTTTTAATCTCATCCAGCTGTTTCAATCCCTGCATTTTGGATTGATGGTTTGGGGAGGTTTAGCTCGGTTTTGGCATGCCATCATTGCACCACCATTACTCCCATCTCTAAAACATGATGGAGATGAGAGGAACGAGATGCAGCCTTAATCCAAATCGAACCTACATCAACCTCACTAAATTGAGACAAAACTTCATACCAATGTCACTGTGGTATTCCCTTAAGTTTACAAGCCTCCTGAACTCTTGATGAGGTCTGTCACTTGGGCACAGTGTACGAGGCATTTTTGCCTGGCACAGGGGTAGCCGGCTTCAGCGTGCACCCAGATTCCCACTCTGCCCCATACTTGCCAGCCACATTTCAGATCAGAAGCCACTTCAAATGTGCCTGGCACATACTCTAAACACGACAGCGAGATGCAGTTTGAAACCAAAAAGGGTTATCATGTAATTCTCTTTTAACTCATGTCTCTCATAAAGGAAAACTAAACCAAACCAAACCAAAAAAAAAAAGAAAATAAAAGAAAAGAAAAGAAGGGTTGGAATCAGGTGTGGGAGGGGGAATGGCGTAACATTTATTAATCAAAATTAAAAACTAAGCATGCTGACATCTGGAGCTAGAACAACCAGCAAAGTCACCACGTTCAGACTCATATTGGCTAGTTCTATCCATCCCAGCATTCTCTTGGGACAGCAGTTCGCCCTAGGCTCTACCACAAGCTCAGTGAAGTACACAGCCTCAAGTACTAGAGCGTGCAGCCACAACAACCTGCTATTACGGAAACAGTCAGTCACCACTGGAGTTAACATTCCAACCTTAACAACTCCCGCAGCCTCCCACCCTCATCCCCCCGAAATGGCTCCCACCCTAGCCCTGTCCCACACCACAATGTTAATAATTATAACAAGCAATAACCCATCTGTTATATCAGAGAAGGGAACAGAGACTCCACTGAGAGATTTAGAGCGGGATGTTAACATTTCTTCAGTCAACTGCACAACAAACAAAAAAAAAACAGGAGAAATAATTCATTGGAGAAATGAAGTTAAGAAATAGCTGATATGTGTATTGCTTTTTAACCATGCACTGATGCAAAATTGAAGCTACTGTTAATTAAAAAAAAAAAAAAAAGAAAAGTCACAGGATAGAGGTACACACGCACGGGCAGACCCACTCAGTTCAAAGAGCAGTCTTCAAATTCTACTTGTGTGTACTTCAAATAAAACCAAAAATGGGGATTAAAATGGCCATGGTACGTTCCTGTCATAGGCGCAATGAGTGTGGACAGCTGGGGGATTTCTGACACAGGGATGTATTTAGCATGACCAGCGGGTCCAAATACACTAAAACGAGGTTAAGGAAAGAGGAGGAAAGTTGCAACTACTACTACTCCTCATTATTTAGTAAATGCTTTCACCAAGCTCTGGGACCAGTAGAGAGCAAAGGAGACACCACGCAGGTTGTCTTATCCAGCTGATACTCCTGTTCTCCACAACCCAGGACCCACCTATAACTCCATCAATGTGTCTAAAGCCCTAGCTCAGCTTGTCCAGTGCACTAGTTATTTTCTCCTGCTATTCCTGTTCACGCACGACTTTAACTGGTATGCAGAGCTCATCCGTAGCCTTAGCTACATGGTCCTACCACCCCTAGTCATTTCTGATGCCACTCACTTTGGGTACTCTAGTAAATATAAACAGAGTAGAGCATCTTCAACACACATGAACAATCATGTTTCCCAATAAAAGAAATAATAATAATGAAAAAAAACCAAAAAAGGCCCTTGCTAGCTGCACCACACTCCTCCAGTGCCACAGCCAAACTGCAACAGAAGACACCATGAGTGGCATAGTCCCTGAAACCCAGGACAGACATGCAAACTCCCACTCCCATCTATTTAAGTGAAGTGATTCTTGACAGGTTTACCCATCTAGGTTTAGTTTTTAAAATCTTTAGCTTCATCTCAAAAAAAACGAGTGTGGCTGAGCTTCTTGCAAAGATGTTAAGTCAGAGACATTTTATCAAAGGGACAGTTCAAACACTGCCTCAACAAGGAAATAGGGAGAACTAAGGAAAAGGTTTATGCATTTTTACTGGGCAGTAAGTAACAACCAAACGGACCACCTAAATCAAGACTGGTTCTTTCTGGTACAGTCTTTTGGACTGTCTGGGGAGCATGTGAGAGGGATGAATACAACCCTAAAAGTTGCTTATCTTAAAATACAAGTTCTCTTTCTCTGGATATCCTGCCAGTGTTGCTGGGGCTGTGCTAAACCTCTTTCCCCATGTGAATGCCTTGGGCCTATAGATCTCCACTGTCAAACAATCATATTTGCTCAGGTATTGAAAAAAGCCCAAAATTAAAATGACTCTTCAGTAATGTTATTGTCCCTGGCTCACCAAGGAAGCAAGAAAATATTTTTAAAAATTCCTTAACAGTAGATGATAGTTTTTTCAATATTAGTCATATATTCTCTGAAATAACACCAATATGGCAAAAAAACATATACAGGAAGCTGCAATCCCAACTAAAGCAGCATTCCAATGACTGAGCATGTTAATGTAGATAAATGAGCACTTTAAGACTATACAGTTCAGCTCAAAGCAAGTCCATCTTCTCTTCCACTCTTCAGGTCCGTATTAGATGATCAATCCAACGAGAACATGAGGAAATCCAAATCTACAGTTTACTATGTCAGTGCATCCTATGGTATAAGCCTCCCTTTTCTTTTTCCCTTGCTGCCTAAGATGGGTGCACAAAGAGTTTTGCTGGCCCCCTTTACTCTGAAGAGCATTAATGCCACTAAGACACAAGCTTTCCTATACTCCTGGAGAAATGTGTAACTCACGGTACCAGTTAGGTACATTTGACCACCTGCCAGGTTTAGGCAGCGAGCCCAATTTTAGGATCTTTTATTTGTTTGGTCTTCTCCACCCCCAAACTGCCCTATAACAGAAGTTAAGAAGCAGAAAGGGCTAGAACCATTTCCAGTATTAGAAGGGTGGCATATGTGCACCAGGAATGAGCATGAATGAATTAAAAGAGGTGACAGGACAACAGTGCCCGTTGCAGCAGGTGCTTCTACATGGTAATGGGACAAGCATGACCTTGTTAACCCTTCCATTTAATTTTCTTTTTTTTTTTTTTTTGAATGAAATGCCACTCGGTGTGAAATCTGTATGCACACCGCCTTGCTACAGCGGGGGCTTGGATCACATGTGAGTCTGCGCTGCCTTAAAAAAAAGCCTCTGTTCCCATCTCTAATGTGGTGCTCGAATGGTTAGTATAATTCAGTTTTTTCCACTGCAATCCACAATCTGATCGGTCGGCAGGTCACACTGGCACTCCTACCTGAGGTATTTTAGCGCTAATGATTGGTTCCTGTAAGACTATTCTATAACAGAACACAGGAAGAGCAGTTCAAAAAAACACAGCTGTGGAAAGAAACAATCATACAAACAGCCCACGGCGGGGCTCACCAGCCTTTTCTTTCCAGTGGATGCAAGCACGCTTTTCACAGGCAGGAGTGGTCTTCGCATGGGTGGGTTTGTTTGGGTTTCCCCCCCACCACCCAGATTGACCCTGTTGTAGAAGAAAGATAATCTTTCTTATGAACCAAAATGAAGCCCTCTGCATCCTGGGGCAGGTTGTTTTACAAATTCATGTGTCTTGCCAGAGTGGGATGCATCCAACAAGAGATGGAATGCCTTCTTCACAGAAGAAATGGCTAGCAGGATGGTTGCCCCAGGAAAGAAAAAAGGAGTGAGGAAGAAGAGGAGGAGGAAAATGAGAAAGCAGTGCATAACATGTATGCAGGAAAAGCAGCCCAAACTTGGGACACTTCCCCTTCGTCTTGACTGCCACTAACCACTCCCTGCCAGCTCAGCTCCTTTCCACTCTTCCTCAACACAATCTTATGGACTCAGAAGACCTAAGGGATCCTCAACTTAACTTTCCCCACAGTCCTAACTGAAGTTGGACTCTGCCATCCCTTCCACAATCTGGACAAGACTTTCACAACCACAAGGATGTAAGCACTGCAGAGAAAAGCACGATAAATCAGTGGGGCACAGGGACACCGTAATCATTCCACCTGTGCCAAGCAAATTGTGTGGAAAGGTAACTTTACGTTTGGACTATGCTAACTTCTTCCTGAGCTCCATCAGAGGGCTCTGGGCAGCAACAACATAGGAAAAGGCACCACCATCCACCCTGATGAGTCCCCTCTTCTATTGTCCTGCTTTCTGACAGTGAGACCAGAGCCACCAACAGCAAAGCCATCAGAAGCTCACCTAATGGTTCTAATCTGACTTGGGGGCTTGACTCTGCATTACATGATGCTACTGCACCGCAGCACCAAGTGGTTACAGGGATTCTTCATTACTGAAGTCTCTGTCCTTCAGAGATGTGAAATAAGCCTCTCCTCCCCACCTGCAATGGAAGCAGGAGGAGCTTTTGCAAAAGAAATAAGGAGTAACCCTGACCGGTCTTCCCTTTCAACATGACAGCCTCTTATATGTCATAATCTGAGGGAAGAGGCACTAAACATTGCTCATTTGCTTCCTTACTTGTTGTAGCAAAGTCATTGGTCTGTACAGCTGGTGTTTTAGGAATGAGGAGGGAAAACTCATAACCCTCTGTAGTTCTTGACAGTTTTATAAATGAACACTTGACTAGGCAGATCAATTTTTAAAGGACTGCACACAACAGTATATGTAAGAATGAAGAAATGCATCTGGTATCTCTATGCTGAGAAAGCATTTCTTCCAACTGCTGTAACTGTGTTGGGAAAAACACCTTTACAAGACCTGACCCTCCATATAAGCCAACAAAATCCAAAAGCTAATTCCATCCATTACCTTGGGTCTAACCCCAAGATCCTCTTTATAAATGTCAGGAGTGGCACTTTCAAAGGAGTGGGGATGTGAAATCCATGCTGACAGCTGTGCCACTACCCAATACAAAACTTTCCCAGCTCCAAAGAGCTCCTACCTACAATACCATGAAAGGGAGCTCTGATAGAGCTAGGCAGGCCACAAGTTGAGATGGCAGTAGCAGACCTGAACATTTTGGCTTTGAAAGGCATATTCCTACTGTAGCTGCTCTGCAAGAACTCTCCATTGGAGAGGAAACTGCTTTTCTCACTGGCCAATGAGAATCCCTCCATCCACGACCCACCTACAAATACACAGACAGATGCCCTGGAGATCTGCAATACAGACTGGCTGGGTAGGACAAAGACAATGACAGGACAAAGCCTCCTGTGGTATCAGAGCTAACTCCCAGACAGGAGGAGGCTGCCGACTCTTCTAACCGAACATCTCCACATATTTGTACTTTACAATTCCCCAAGGAGGCGGGAGAATCTAGCCTATTTAGGTACCATTTCTACCAGCAAAATGAGATGTCAGTTTTCGCTCTAGCATCTCAGTCTCCATTTGTAATCAGTCCCAGTGTCTTCCCCAAAGGGATAATCTCCACATCCCAGTGGCACATGAACATTTTTAAACACACAGCTCACTCAGTTTAGTGTGGGCTGCACAAATCAAACCTGAAAGGGTCCCAAGAGGGGAGAGAAAGGGGAGGGCGGAGAGGGAGAAGGAAAGGGAAGGTCTGAGGCTAAACCAGTCCTGTTATTTTTATATCCAAATTATGTAAATAAGAGAAGTGTTGAGAGAAATTTTAATTCACTAATCATCTCTCAGGTTGATTAGTAGCAGTGTGCATGTGGGGGACAGGACACCCAGTAAACTGACCCTGGCAATGATCAGGAAACCCAAAGGCTTAGGTCTTGCACCCAGGGGCAAGCGCAGTGACAGAGAAGCATGCTTGCATTCCTAAATATATATATATATCCACAAGGAAGAAGAAAATCAAAGTAAATGATATTTTAAAAAAACCAAACCAAACCAAACAAACCAAAAGAAAAAAAAAAAGGCTGGCTTGTCAGGGGTTGGGGACGAGAAGGCTCCGGTGTGTGTACTTACATAGAGGTCAGCACCGTAAAATCCGTCCTGGTAAACCACACTGCAGAAAATCCACACAAAAACAAAAAAAAACAAAAAAACAAAAAACAAAAGAACAGAAAACACATTCCGGTTATTGAGGACGGCAGCATGCACATGCATTTTACACAGGCAGGTGATGTATGAATCCACAACCTGGGCTTTTGGCAGGAGCAAATCAGCAAGAGAATGTGTGTGCGCACGCACGCTAGACGGCTCCAAATCATCCTCCATGGCATGCAAAGGGGGAAGGGGCGGGCAGAGGGGGAGACAGTATGCAAAGGAGAGAGGGAGGGGAACCACCATCTTGTACAGTAAAAATAGACTCAACGTCAGTAAAAACAGACTCAATAGACTGATGTCCTGAAGAAGAGAAACAAGGGTTTAGAAACCTCCACTCATGGTTATTCTCCTGGAATTATTTTAGTTACCCCCTAAACACACTGAAACATTGGCTTCACGAAGTGGGCTTGTGAAATCAAGGAGCCCCTCAGAAGGCATCCCACAGGGTCTGGAGTCACCTACATCAGAAGCACTTTTCACAGAGTTGTGTACAATTATGTATTTTGAGCTTCACAGGGCCGCATGACTTTGTTTCTGATATCCATACATCACCTGCTTTTACCCTGCACATTAGACATGCGATAAGATTTGGCTGATCACACAGGCATGCAAAGTATTATTATTCAGCATCTTAAAGAACTGATGCAACACCTCAGGAAAACAAGTCAATCAATTCTGATCAAAGTAAACACAGAAATGTAATTAAAAAGAAAAAACCAAAAATACCCACAATGCATTGCTTTCACAAGCAGAGATAATGAGCTAAAAAGGTTAGGTGACTGGTCCAAAGTCTGAGAATTGAAAGGTGCAGTGGGAGTCCCTGGTAGTAACAACCTATTCCGTAGCAGAGAGGAGCAACTGGAAGGGTTTCCATGGGATAGTGCTTTGTCTGCTTTAAGTCATAGTTTTCTTTCTCTCAGAACTT